ACAACCAGTACCAGCCACTGCACACACATACCAAAAATTGTAAAGACCATCAACACTATGAAGAAATTACATCAATTAACGGGAAAAACAACCAGCTGGCATGAAAATGGCAGGATCAAATTCACACATAACAATATTAACCTTAAATGTAAATGGGCTAAGTGTCCCAATCAAAAGATACAGACTGGCAAACTGGATAAAAAGTCACGACCCATTGGTGTGCGGTATTCAGGAGACCCATCTCACATGCGAAGACACACCTCGGCTCAAAATAAAGGGATGGAGGAAGATTTAACAAGCATTAAGTAATGAAATGAAGGCAGAAATAAAGACATTTTTCGAAACCAATGAGAACAAAGACACAACATACCAAAATCTCTGGGACACATTTAAAGCAGTGTCTAGAGGGAAATTTATAGCACTAAATGCCCACAAGAGAAGCGAGGAAAGATTTAACACCGACACCCTAACATCATGATTAAAAGAACTAGAGGAGCAAGATCAAACAAATTCAAAAGCTAGCAGAAGACAAGAAATAACTAAGATCAGAGCAGAAAAGAAGGAGATAGAGACACAAAATAACCTTCAACAAATCAATAAATCCAGAAGCTGGGTTTTTGAAATGATCAACAAAATAAATAGTCCACTAGCCAGAGTAATAAAAAAGAAGAGAGAAGAATCCAATAGATGCAATAAAAAATGATAAAGGGGGCTGGGCACAGTGGCTCACACCTGTAATCCCAGCACTTTGGGAGGCCGAGATGGGTGGATCACGAGGTCATGAGTTCAAGACCAGCCTGGCCAAGATGGTGAAACCCTATCTCTTAAAAAAAAAGATAAAGGGGATATCACCACTGATCCCACAGAAATACAAACTACCATTGGAGATTACAATGAACACCTCTATGCACATAAATCAGTAAATCTAGAAGAAATGGATAAATTCCTGGACACTTATATCCTCCTAAGACTAAACCAAGAAGAAGTTGAATCCCTGAATAGACCAGTAACAAAGTCTGAAGTTGAGGCAGCAATTAATAGCCTACCAACCAAAAACAGTCCAGGACCGTATGGGTTCACAGCTGAATTCTACCAGACGTACAAAGAGGAGCTGGTTCCATTCCTTCTGAAACCATCCCAAACAATACAAAAAAAGGGAATCTTCCCTAACTCATTTTATGAGACCAACATCATCCTGATACCAAAACCTGGCAGAGACACAACTAAGAAAGAAAATTTCAGGCCAATATCCATGATGAACATTGATGTGAAAATGCTCAAATACTGGCAAACTGAATCCAGCAGCACATCAAAAAGCTTATCCATCATGATCAAGTCGGCTTCATCCCTGGGATGCAAGGCTGGTTCAGTATATACAAATCTATAAATGTAATCCATCACAGAAGCAGAACCAAAGACAAAAACCACGATTAACTCAACAGATGAAGAGAAGGCCTTCCACAAAGCTCAACAGCCCTTTATGCTAAAAACTCTCAATAAACTAGGTATCAATGTAACATATCTCAAAATAAGAGCTATTTATGACAAACCCACAGCTAATATCATACTGAATGGGCAAAAACTGAAAGCATTTCCTTTGAAAACTGGCAGCAGACAATGATGCCCTCTCTCACCACTCCTATTCAACATTGTATTGGAAGTTCTGGCCAGGGCAATCAGATATGAAAAAGAAATAAAGGGTATTCAATTAGGAAAAGAGGAGGACAAATTGTCACTATTTGCAGACGACATGATTGTACATTTAGAAGACTACGCTGTCTCAGCCCAAAATCTCCTTAAGTTGATAAGCAATTTCAGCAAAGTCTGAGGATACAAAATCAATGTGCAAACATCACAAGCATTCCTATACACCAAAAACAGAGAGGCAAATCATGAGTGAATTCCCATTCACAATTTCTACAAAGATAATAAAATACCTAAGAATACAACTAACAAGGGATGTGAAAGATCTCTTCAAGGAGAACTACAAACCACTGCTCAAGGAAACACAGAGGACACAAACATGGAAAAACATTCCATGCTCATGGTTAGGTAGAATGAGTATCATGAAAATGGCCATACTGCCCAAAGTAATTTATAGATTCACTGCTATCCCCATCAAGCTACAATTGACTTTCCTCACAGAATTGGAAATAACCACCTTAAACTTCATATGGAACCAAAAAAGAGCCTGCATAGCCAAGACCATCCTAAGCAAAAAAACAAACAAAAAAAAGCTGGAGGCATCACACTATCTGACTTCAAACTATAATACAAGGCTACAGTAATGAAAACAGCTTAGTACTGGTAACAAACAGAGATACAGACCAGTAGAATAGAACAGAGGTCTCAGATACAATGCCACAAATCTACAACCATCTTTGACAAGCTTGACAAAAACAACCAATGGGGAAAGGATTACCTATTTAATACATGGTGTTGGGAAAACTGGCTAGCTATATGCAGAAAGCTGAAACTGGACCCCTTCCTTATACCTTATACAAAAATTAACACCAGATGGATTAAAGATTTAAACCTAAGACCTAACACCATAAAAACCCTAGAAGACATAGGTAATACCATTCAGTACATATGCATGGGCAAGGACTTCATGACTAAAACATCAAAAGCAATGGCAACAAAAGCCAAAATAGACAAATGGAATCTAATTAAACTTAAGATCTGTAAAGCAAAAGAAACTATCATTAGAGTGAAATGGCAACCAACAGAATGGGAAAAAATTTTTGCAATCTACCCATCTGAAAAAGGGCTAATATAAGAATAAAACAACCCTATTAAAAAGTGGGCAAAGGATATGAAAACGTTTTTCAATAGAAGACATTTATGTGGCCAACAAACATATGGGAAAAAAGCTCATCATCACTGCTCATTAGAGAAATGCAGATCAAAACTACATTGAGATACCATTTCACTCCAGTTAGAATGGCGATCATTAAAAAATCGGAGACAACAGATGCTGGAGAGGACATGGAGAAATAGGAACGCTTTTATACTTAGTGGGAGTATAAATTAGTTCAACCATTGTGGAAGACAGTGTGGCGATTCTCAAGGATCTAGAAATAGAAATACCATTCGATCCAACAATCCCATTACTGGGTATATATCCAAAGGATTATAAATCGTTGTATTATAAAGACACACACCCACCCATGTTTATTGCAGCACTGTTCACAATAGCAAAGATTTGGAAACAACCCAAATGCCCATAAGTGATAGACTGGATAAAAAAAAAAATGTGGCACATATACACCAGGGAGTACTATGCAGCCAACAAAAAGGATGAGTTCATGTCCTTTGCAGGGACATGGGTGAAGCTGGAAACCATTATTCTCAGCAAACTGACAAAGGAACAGAAAACGAAACACCACATGTTCTCACTCGTATGTGGGAATTAAACAATGTGAATACATGGACACAAGAAGGGGAACATCACACATCAGGGCCTGTTGGGGGGTGGGGGGCTAGGGGAGGGATACAAGGGGGTGGGGGAATTGGGGAGAGAGAGCATTAGGAGAAATACCTAATGTAGATGACAGGGTGATGGATGCAACGAACAATCATGGCACATGTATACCTATGTAATAAACATGCACGTTCTGCACATATACCCCAGAATTTAAAGTATAATAAATTAAATTTAACAAATTTAATAAGGCCTAAATCAGAGGCTAGAAATCTCATCTTTAGGAATTAGAACACTCAATGTCCTTCTTTAGATCCATAGGTAAAGTGCAACGCCAATAAAAATCCTAGTTTTTAAACTTCTTTCTGTATAAATTGACAAGTGGATTTATAATTGATATTAAAATGCACAGGAACAAGAACAGTCAAAACAACTTTGAAAAAGAGGTTCTAGCCGGGCGCGGTGGCTCAAGCCTGTAATCCCAGCACTTTGGGAGGCCGAGGCGGGTGGATCACGAGGTCAAGAGATCGAGACC